AAGATATTCATTTCGTGACGGGCCCACAGTGTCTTGCTGCCATGTATTCATGTCCTCCTATGCCAAGTGTGGTATATGTCAAGCTAAGGAGACCACCACGAGACTGCCCCGACGTAGGCGGCTAGATAAATAGCAATTGGTCGAGGTGCCTTTGTTTCGCTAATAATGCCTCGCTTTTTACTTTTGTGATTGTGTCACTATACTTATGAGCAGCAGCATTACTCTGAAATTACAAAGTAGCCAGATTACTGCAACTTCTCGATTTTAATGATTTCGCTGTATTGAAAAAGAAAGCGAGAACACAAGAGAAAATTGTTCTTGTCATATTACATAAATTCCGCCAGACGTGATCAGCAACGATTTAGAAATAAAAAAAAACGCAAGTTTTTCTGAATGTGTGTCGTAGAATAACAGCTACGTGCTCAAATTAATTTGGAGTTCGAAACCAAACTAGACTGAAGTTCAGGTGAAGATCGATATGGAGAGGATGAGAAGTCATTGAATAGCTAATGCAGCAATTCGGGCCTCAGCAACACTTCTCATTCGAAAACTTGTCAACTGCGATTGACCAGAGCAATTCGTGGTTGATACACAGTACACTCACTTGCCTGAGCACGATGGGCGCCGTTGGTTGACTGAAGTGCGCATTTTCCATTCCTGATGAGCGGTGGACGCCGTTCGTTTACGAAGCTCCTCCCACCACCATTTTGAATTACGGACTTGCCGAGTCGAACGTACAGAAGAAGCCACACCAAGACTAGGCACCCGATCACCAAAGAAAGAGCCATCATCCACACGTCATCCATGTCTACCGCCTCCTTCATCGTATCCATGGATGGCATCTTCCAAGTATTGGTGGTGCAGTTCGAAGACACTTGACGTCAATTCTTTAAAATGCACTCAGTACAAGAGCAGCCCCCAAAGGCGCCCCGATGAGGCCAGTAGTGAATGGCAAGTGAAATCAACCGACGCTTGGCGGGAACTCAGCAGCGACTTCTTTTCTTATTCCTTCGAAGTGTAAAAGTCAAACTGAACGTTGTTAAGCAGGTCTCTTATGAGACGGCTGGCTACTCGAACATTCCCATCCAACAAGCACAGAAAATCGAAGGATGACAGTCAACCCGAAGAGTCGCAGCACACCATCACCGGCACATAGTACATTCTTCGTTTCGATCGGTGACTTCACGGCACGTCCTAGCTGAACACGACAATCCTGTCAAGAGCTGGTGCAACGACTCCAACCCGTCCCAACGCCTGTCCGTACAGCTTCGTACAATCGCCTCCTCAAAGACTTCCCGCGTGCGAAAGAACGACGACCCCGACGGCCTATACTCGAACGAGTTCTCCTGCTCGAAACACGGCAGTCGATGTGTCGGTCCAGTTTCGACGAAGACGGCCCAGTCCGGAAAGCGCGATGGGGACTGATTCGTGGAGCCAGGCGCGATCGGCCGCCCAGACAGCCGATGTAGGAATCCAGTCACGATGGCAGCCGTTGTACAGCCATAGGATCTGCGGAAGCGAGCCTTTCCTTACGGGCGAAAGTGACACGGTAACGCAAGCCTCGCAGCACGCGACGGAAACCAGACGTGCCTAGGGGCATGCCGTCAGCAGCTACGCGGCGGTTCTCACTTTTCGAGCACGGTCGCCGTTGTGTCGCGCTGCGGTCCGCGACGGTGCGGTGAGCTTGTTTTGAGCCGCGCGCCTGTTTACATTCACCCCGTCCTTCCTATAGGCGACGGGTGTATAGCGGTCGAAAAAAGAAAGACGTGTGTGCTCTTTTCTGCGGCAAGAGGTTTGCGCTACGTGTTTCCGGATGCCCGGGCTTTGCGCTTGACGAGACGACGTGTGTATCCGGCCATTCGTGCCGAGACAACGCCCTTCGCGCGTTCGCCGAGGGTCGTCTTGTGTTCGCGAGTACCGTGGAAATTCACAGAGATGACCGCGGTGCGCGTAAGTGTTACGCTCCTCGGACCCTGACCCTGACATTGGAGGTCGCGGGTTCGATCCCGGCCGAGTCGCATCCAGTGAAATGTTAGAGAGGCCCATGTGCTGTGCGATGTCAGTGCACGTTCAAGAACACCAGATAATCGAAATTTTCGGACTCCTGTCCATATGGCATCTCATAATCATATTGTGGGTTTGGGACGTTAGGTCGCAGATATTATTATTGTTGTGAAGACGTTGAGGTGATTGTGTGAAGGATCGACCGCTCCCACTGTGATCAGAGACAGGATTATGTGAAGAAACTTAGATTCCTAAAAATTATTGAAAGAATACCCGTTCCCGTATTACCGTGACTTAGGCGAGTTTGGCTGAAATACAGTGGCGCAAGGTTGACAAAGAGAAAAAAAGAGACGAGACAGAAAGAGCGCCAACTCACAACTTGTTGTGAGTTGGCGCTCTTTTTGTCTCGTTTTTTTTTCTCTTTGTCAACCTTGCGCCACGTATTTCAGGCTAATATGTACCAACTAGCCCAACATAACGTACTGTTAGGCGAGTTTGTACACACTGCGACGAATGCATCGTGGCTTAGTCGAAGACTGGAGAAACATATAAACACAGGTGAACGCTGACATACGACTGATTTTATTTGCACTTTAACTGGTCTTTTTATCGGGCTGATATTCTGTGAGTAGTGCAAATTGATCAGGGGCTGAGATTTTTTTCTTGGAACGGAATTTGATTTACTTATAGCCCGAGGTTCTCATTCACAGATGTTAGTTGGGAAGTGCTAAGCACCCGATGATAACAGTGTTAAAAAGGACGATTCAGATGACAGACCACGATTGCTAATAAGTTCAGTTCGTCTCGGAAGGTAATCTGTGAACGTCCGAAAGAGGCGCGTTGACCAGAGGATGACTTTTTTTCTTCTTTTTTTTCGACAGAAACTTCGCGCGTCCTCAGTCCCACCTCTTTCATGAGTTTTTCTACGCCATTTTCGTCGGGCGGAGGTGACCAAAAGACAGGCAGTACCAACGACAATTTGCTGGTACTTTTTTTTTTTGTCTTAAAGGGGTACCGACCAGAAAACTTCTGTGGATATGTGTGTGTGTGTCAAAAAAAAAAAAAGGCAAAGAGTCGAGCATGTTTACGGCTAAACGTGAGTGCAGCCTGAAAAAGTAATTGCAGTATGTTTTGGAAAGCTATAGTTTCTGTTTGTACTGTAGCCTGACGTCACAGCCCGGCATGAGATTCTCGTGACGTGCTCGCTATCGAGACGTTTTCACAGGCTCTCCGCACTGCGGCTCCGTTGGTGGCGGCGGCCTTCTCGTATATTTTGGTTATGAAGAAACGGCCATTTTGCAAGTGGTGGTACCTGACGTTATCGCAACAAGGGTCACTGCATGCTCGAAGTACTGCAGTCGCCTGACGTCAAGATGTGGTCGATGTCTGTTGGTGCGCCATGAAAAATTTTACTTAAATATCAAAATAAAATTTCATTTTTTGAGCTTCGCACTTTCTCAGAGTCGTCTCTGATTGATTGATTGATATGCGGGGTTTGATGTCGCAAAACTCACCTTCGACAAATGGTGTCACTACCCTTTCAAGATTGTTTTGATGACTCATTTGGACACATGAACGGCTTATGCAAAACGTTTATTTTGTGTAGTGGATGCATTCACGTATACACAGGAGTGTTGTCCCTTACCAACATGGCTGGAGGTGACAGACTTTGTGCCCTACGTGAGCACGTTGTGGTAATTGCGGACAGCATGCGTAATACGAATGGTACAGAGAAGGCGTCGTCAGACGCGCTCCGCTTTTGTTTACGCTCGACAACGCCAGACCGATCCGGCTTTTCGCTTATTTCCTCTACGATCACGAATAATGTGCTCGCGACTGTAAATTTGCACAACGAGTCAGATGGCGACGACGCAAGCAGAGTTCGGTCTTGCGTTGTTGTGTCGAGACACTCGTCGCCGACGCGAGTTTTCCATATTGCAGAGAGCGCGATAGGAGAAACTTCCGGTCACCGTCACATGCGACCGTCACGCGACCTACGTCGATTCCAGAAACGAGCAGAAGTGATGTCGAGCTGAGCGCTGCGCCTTTAAGAACCAGATACTGAAAGGTTGTGTACTGGATGCTTCGGCAATATGATCATTACCAAGCAGTTAATATGCCTTTAGCCGTACCGTTCTCTGACATGTAACGTGTTCAAATAAAACAATAAAATGAAGTGAAATGGGCTCACCACGTGTCGTCAACGCTCTCACCCTCACCGCCAGCGGGGCACGCGCTTCGAGTATCGTGTTTCTATATGTCCGAGCGCTGTACAAAGTTTTCTGTTACGCGCGCTTGTCGATAGCGGATGAGCTGATGCGCATGACGCACTATCGCGATATCTGCTTGCTCAGACGAACAGATTGCCGTGCACCTTTGGCGGTTGAGGCTGAGCACTGATGCAGCATTCAACGGGCATTTAGGATGTCATCGCTGGTGTCATCGAGGTCGCCCTTCCGACAGCCAGCACAGGGAAAAGCTGCGCGCTATGCCAATCTGCTTATCGCTACAGCGCGCAGTGAATCGCGCTGTACGAATTCATGATAGCCCGTACGCAACGCCATGGACGCGTGACATGGCGACTTATATGACGACCGGCCTATAGTGCACAGAGTTCCTCTTCAAGAGGGGCGAAGGTTTATCGCAGCGCCCCTCCCCCGTTAGGTGAATGTACGGGGTAGACTTTGCGCCCCCTTCCTTCTTAGGTGAGTAGAAAAGAAGCCGCCGCCCGCCTAACCCCCTCTCCCGGGCGCAGCCCTGTCGCCAGGGCAGTTTAATGACGCGGCGATTGACTGTGGCTTCGGTGTCGTAACGACGTCGCTAGAACCTTATTGGTCCTCTGCGCACGAAGGAACCAGCGTGTGATTTGCTGATATCGCTAACGTTACATCACAGAGTTCGCGTTCCGCCATATTTGTGCTCCGGCGCGTTTGTTCAGGTGGCATCAGTGCGAGCTATCTATACTTGTTGTGAGAAGTGCTTCCCAGTGCACCCACCTTGTTGAACTTGTTCTGCAGCCTCTGCTTGTCTATCTTCACCTCCTCGATGACGCCGCTCTCGTTGTTATGGCTCTCCTGTTCCTGGACACTGGTGAAGCTGGACTTCTGCGGAAAAAGGACAGACGACAACAACGGTAAGCCCGAATGTTTAGCAGAGCCGGCCAACTACGGCGGCTCTAACAAAAGCAGCCGAGGCTTCGAAACCCCCCCGCGTTCTACGGACACCGCAGCTGGTCGGGGCCGTATACGAATGAAGGACGAGCACCGGGAAGCCGTGTTTACTCGAGCAGCTGTTAGCCACTTGCCTGCTGTCCCCGCATTCTCAATTTGTCACTGTCAGTCATACCGCGAGTCGCGTAATTCCATCGTCCAATCTCTTGTTTAGCTAGTGACGCAATCGTGGCTACGTAACCTTGCCCGTTGCATTCAACGCAATGCAAACACCGGGAAAAACCGAAGGGCTCCGCCATGACAGTTTCACTAGCGCCGGCTAACTGGTCCAGGGATACGTCCGTATACAATGCACAAAAATACACAGCGCAGGGGGCGAGTGCTGGTGCCGTAGCCGTGTTTTCCGGACTATCTGGGTTTTCATGTAACCAGGAGAAGCCTTAAGTCCACTTTTCCCAATTTTATTACTTGCGCGCGCATTCAATTCGAAACAACACAGCGCGAAAAATGCCAGGCACAAGCCACGATAACAGCAACGCCTCATCTATTTTGCGCTTTCTTTGGCTCTGTTAGGAGGTTTAAGAATAACGTTTGCGGGCGCTGCGGGTATAGTGGGCGCCATATGAGTTTTAGAATAGAGCTCTCTCCCCCAGGGAAAAGTCTAAGGACTTTCGCTCCGACCGCAAATTCAAATGCATGGAAGCTACACACAGCACTTCGCGGGCCGCGATCGCCGCACGCTGCTTCGGATTTTCTGCGTGCGGGCCGCGAACGCGGATGGCAACTCGCCTTACGACGCATGCGCAGTGGCAGAGACAACACCGCAAGCGCTCGCGGTGCGCTATTCTAAAACTCTCTCTTATCTGTAGGCATCACACGCTTGCGTTCAGTGTTTCTGCAGCTTGATAGTTACCATACAGGACGGAGCCTAGCGTGTATAGTCCGCCTCTGTCGTTTTGTTGTGTTTAGCGCCGTTCCTCGTTTTTTCTTGTTTTTTTTTGTTTTTTGCGGTCCGCTCTCTCTGGTGACGGTCCTTCCTGCCCCCCAACCCATGCGCACGCCTATGCTGATTTTACGTGAAAGTTCACAAATGTTATGACACATTGTCATCGGCGATATCATGCGCACAAATAAGGCAGCAAAGGAGGCTAGTCGGTAGTCCATACGCCTTCATCTTATAATGCGCTCCCAGATGTGACTCACAGAGGGGAAAAAAAAACGAAAAAAAATCAGAGGGACAACACAAGTTGATTTTACTGCGCTGTCTCTTTTTTTTCTCGGTCCGTGTCATGCTCGGCAGCGCATTACAATATGAATGCATACGCACAGTTTGAAACTGACACTCACATCGCTTTCTTTTTTATTTCGCAACGAGTCACCGTGTTTTGTTGATCGCGGCATTCGTAGGTAGTCAATATGACCTGATAAATTGTCAGAACTTACAAATTTCGCGCGTTTTCTTTGTATCACCGGCATAGCCAGCTAGCATGGGCTGAGGGTGAACTGTTAATTTGACCGAACACTAAAACTTGCAAATCTATTTCCGGCAACAGCCGTGTGATTATTCGGGATCCGAGTGGTAAAAACGCAAATGAGCAAAGATAAACTATGTGAAATACATAGTCTTTATGAAAGTGTGAGTACTATGTGAAAATACATATACATGACAAAGATGCAAAATTCCACTTTACAAAAGGGAAGTCAAGTCAATATGCTGAAAGAAAACGAGCAGGGCTCGATGGGCCTGGTCGTGACGAGCATGACACCACATAGGAAACAGGCAGGCGTCGAGTGTCTTGTTACTCCAAGTGGTCTTATACCCTCATCACACGTGGCAACTTGAACGCACTTTGAGCTAGCGCACTTGTGCTCACAAAGTGTTACTTTAGCGCTGCGCTGCTGCAATAGAGCGAAGTGTACTTTGGAAATGATGACAGTCGCGATTGGCGGATTAGTAGCGCAACATACCTTTGTTACAGCGTGTGGCAGCGCACACCAGGTTACACAAAGAACACACCCACAAAGGGACGATAAGAGCGCCTTGTGTGCGTGTTCTTTGTGTAATCTGGTGCGCGCTGCCATTGCGGCAGTGTATTATAGCAACTAAGCCGTCGATAAGTTTTAAGCATGTATTTGTTATTTTTGCGCCATTGTCTCGGCGTCGGACAACGTTATCTTCGTGGAAGTAGCACAAGTGGCACACGCCACCGCAAGGGACAGCGATTGATTCACACATGCGCAATCGTGCAAAGAAGTAAACTACGTAACGGACGCGGCCATTGCACGGCATGTGCTCCCGCTGACCCCTAGCGGAAATGGCCGCAAATTTCTCGAGGGTGAGGGCAGCGAAGTTTGTTGTAGTATGACTTGTTGTGATACACGGCAGTATTCCTAAAAACGAAAACAATCTTTTAAAAAATCGCAACATATCCACGGGGTGAACGATGAATCGGCGAAGCTCCGGAAATACATCGGACATCAGCCCGGCTGTCTGTCTGTCTCCTATCACACCAGAGCATCGAAGTGGAGTGAGTGCCATCTAGTGAGCACTCCGAGTACTAGGGGTGACTACGATGGAGGATTAATTGATTGATTGATTGATTGATTTGTGGGGTTTAACGTCTCAAAACCACGCTATGATTATGAGAGACGCCGTAGTGGAGGGCTACGGAAATTTCGACCACCTGGGGTTCTTTAACGTGCACCCAAATCTGAGCACACGGGCCTACAACATTTCCGCCTCCATCGGAAATGCAGCCGCCGCAGCCGGGATTCGAACCCGCGACCTGCGGGTCAGCAGCCGAGTACCTTAGCCACTAGACCACCACGGCGGGGCTACGATGGAGGATTAAGGAGTAGCCTAAACCTTAAGGAGCTTCGCCTCTAAAATACTATATATATGAGCGCTGCTTCATGCAATAGCGTAGTCGCACGCCACTGTTACCGAGGCTACAACTCCGTGGCAACGAAGTGAGGTTAGCGAACGCACTTGACAGCAAGTGTACTTTGCAGCGGGTGACACTAAACTTTCTCGTGCGACAGCGTACAAGTCACACTCGCTTAAAGAGCACTAATTTGCAACGTGTGACTGGGGTTATTATTCCTTCAATGGAAGCTGTGCAACGAATGGGGAAAACTCTAAGCTGTCGAAGTGTGTCGCAGGGGGCAACACGCGCACGACCGTCAGTCCACGCTTCCCATTCGGCATCAACGCACGCGCACCGATAAAGGCAGCGTATAGGCTGCAGAGACTCAAGTATCAAGTTCAGTTTCAGCAACCGCCCTCTCGTCTTCTAACGTGTCGCGTTGTCGTCATGCAGACGCCTCGTTCGATACGCACTAGCTGAGCTAAGTGGACGTTTGGAACTCGAGCACCCACTTGCCCGAGAACGCCAATGTCGGCAAAGGGCTTACTCGTCTGCCCTAACCAGCCAAGCGCCGGGGGTTGGATGTACCGGGCTCGGAGCCATATAAAGCAGAAAAAAAAAAAACATAAGAGTAAGCAGACTCTCCAGCCACGCTTAGTTCTTAGTTTTTAATTCTAAAAATTGTCCGTGCGTTTCTAAAGCTGTTTGTTCTCGAAACGGTGGGCCAGTTTTTAAAATTAAGGACCGAATTCTAAACGTAGCTGGAGTCTGTTTATTGTTACAATTTTACGCGCCCAGACAAATTTCTAATATGTTTACCTCCATGTGGAAAAACTTTTGCATGCCACAGAAAACAAAATAGATAATCAGAAAACAAATGAGATAATCTTGTGAAGAACGATAGAAAATATCGCATCACATAAAGAGAACAGAAAAGAGCACATTAACAGAATAAAAAAAGACAGGCGAATAAAAGCCCCGCATTCGTACAGCTTAAACATGGGGTACCTCCCAGAATCGATGGCGTTATTGAAAGGAGTGAGCACGAAAGCGGCATGTAAATGAATCAGTACCACTTATCAGACAACGCGGCTTTATAACATGTCACAAGCAAATGCCCAATTTCATGTTACTTGGCCTGCTAATGAATGAAGCCAACTTACTAGAGACTTTATGTCAATCGGCACGATGTCTTCGGCAAAGCGGTGGTGGAACACTTGGTTTTTGTTATTCAGTGGCGAGATGTAGCTGTGCTTCTAGCGGGGAGAAAACAAAAAAGGGGAAAGCAACAAAACAAGCGCTGGTAACACAACAGTTAATATAAGCGAAGGAGTGTTAGCCAATGCAAGTGCGTCGAGTGCACAGCGGTGTACGAGCGGATATAATCAGCCTTATCAAGCGCAAGTCAAACTAAGGAAGATATAGCACAATCAGGGACCGACAAGGACGTGACCAAAGCAGGGGGAAAGCGGTACTACAGTTCGTGGCGTACACTGTCCCACATAATATGTGCTACTTAATGAGGCGTGAGAACGTTTACCGAAGGTGATTAACAAGTAAAAAGAGCTAGCCTTCGTTTCTTTTTTCAAGAAAAAGCATGGTTCGATCGAGAAAACTGCTGAAGCGTAGAGGGCTAGCGGCCGACTCAACCAGTAATACAAAGCAAAAATATTGGAACAGTTCTCGGCTGGCTGAACAAAGTGCGCTGGTCGGTAAAGATAGTCGAGAAAGATTAGGTTGATCCTAGTGAGTTTTTCTAGCGCGCAGAACGCTACAGATTATTTTGCGAATATGAAGAAACTCTAGTTCCTGCGAATCAGTGTCGTATCGAATCGGTATGCCATGAGTGGCACACAATGTGCTGTGCACATGATAGAAATATTGCTATTCTTTCAGTAACGACTCTTTGCTGATTTTGTCATTTAGCTCAAAGTAGCAGCAATATTTAATTTTGAACTCACTGAACAATAAAGAAGCCGTCGACATAGTCAGTCATTTTCAATTGAATTCACTATAATTGATAAAAAATGAAATAAGACCAATAAACGATGACTTTTCCGTCAAAGAACTAAACGAAGTGTCAAAGTAAACAAACTCGCTAAGCAAAGAGGCTTGCATTTAGCATGAGTGGCTGTCTGTAGCCTTAGCTTCCGAATTGCTGCACGCTTTTAGATATGTATAAAGCGTTGCTTATGCGTATATTCATAACTCAAACCTAAAGCACCTTTGTTGTCCTTTGTTAACACCAAAGGCAGAATAATCTATTTAGTGTGTACGAGGAAAAGCGCCCAAGCTTGCCCTCGAAAGAAAAAAAGTGCAGTGTGGCTCACGTTGCTGAACTGCAGGCTTTTTCGCTTGCTAAGGTTAATGTTTACGAAGGTGAACGTACGTTAACTATTATGCCCTCTACAAGAAGGGCAGGACGCACGTTGCTTGTGTGGATGTGTTAACTCCAGAGATCCTGCCGTAAATAACAATTTAATCAGTGTGCAAATATAGAAGAAAAAAAATGAAATTTGATAATATTGACACCCTGTGTGCGGTAAAAATAGTATATGAATACCGCGATTAACGCAGCTATGTTGGCGTAAAATAAAACTTCGCACATTAATCTAACATACTCTCGCTATCGCTAGAGCCCTCCCTCACTGTATGTGGTGTACAACTTCCGCTGAGCTAATAAACAGAGTTAATGTGCGAATAATAAAATTTGCGCACGTTCGCACTGTGTTGCGAATATGTATCCCATGTATCAACTGAACTGCTTGCGCAGCGAATGCCTCTATGTAAGCCAGCTGTTGTGAAATCAAAAGTGACAGTAAAGATGTAAACAGGCAACTAAACACCTTTAATCGCTTAACATTCATTTCTAGAACTTGAATCTGCTACGCGCAACTTGTGCCAGTCTGCGTGATGAGTGATCCTGTCTGAGCCGCATATGTTTCACGGTGAACCACAGTGCAACACCGAGACGAGGACACGCAATCAGGACACACGATGTCCTCACAATGTCCTTCTTCTCATCGTCCTTGCCTCGGTGTTGCGCTGTGATTCAACACACCTCATTAACTCGGCCAACCTTTCACGTTACTGCGCATATGTTTACTGCAACTTTGCATAGACAACACACAAGGTAGGGATGAAGTGCTAGTAGTGCCTACAGGTAATGAAAACTGATGCAGAGCAAAAGAGCAGGCGTCTTAGAATATAACTTAAGAGCAGTCAATTGATAATGCGTGCACGTGCTGACATGCAAACTTCGTAAAAGGTGACCTTACGTATATCTCTACTCGGGAATAAATTTGTCTCCACAAAGAAGTTCGGTAAGAACCTTCAGAATGCTAAAAGGAACACTGAAGAGAAACATGATTGCTCTCATTGTGAGTAAAGTGCGCTTTAGCAGTGCCATAACAAAGCAACTCTTTCTACGCAAAATACCAAAGGCCCGTGTACTGGGCCGTGCTCATGCATGTTAAGGGATTCCAGTCCGTCGAAATTTCTGTAGCCCTACCCTACGATGCCACTCGTAATCATGTCGTAGTTTTGGTACGTAAATCCTAGATATTGATATTATTATTATTATTATATTATTATTATTATTATTATTATTATTATTATTATTATTATTATTATTAATAATAGCAACTTTTTGCGCTAAAAGACGCTCGGTAGACCAGAAAACGCGAAGCAGAAAACAGTTTACGACGCTGATTTCGTTTCCAGCACCAATCATTCGAGTCGACGTCACGGATTTTGACGCTTCTGGTATACTGCCTGTGCAACCCCTTATCATTAAAACATAATTACGGTGCGTAATAAGGTAGTCGGAGACTTTACATGGCTTGTTTCTGAAAATTTAGTTTGCCATTTTGTTCTACCCCACAAAGCGCTTTTTCGTGGTAAGATGGCTCTTTTTGGCATTGTTAAAGGACAGTTTACTGATAATTGATAAAAGAAAACTTTTTATTTAGTGTGACCATCAAAGGACCCTGCAACATTTTTTCTGATGATCGTTGAATGGCTTCATTACAGTAGCTTATTGCCTCACGAATCGATCACCGCAAAAAAAAAAAAAAATTAATAATCCGGCAAGTATGAGCGGAACTACAAGGACTTGTGTATTATGATTTAAGCGCTTGCTCATTTCGTGCCAGCGGGTGCGCTGAAAGATGTGCAGGGAGGAGGACAAGGGCCCAATGAAATGCGTCCCTTCGTCAGCGTGTGTTGTGACCTTGACGAGGGTGCGTGCGGGCTCGTGGCGGCATCTCGCGGCGGACGCGGTAACTATGCAGCTCATTAAGCCCAAGTTAGTCAACGGCCGTCTAGTTCACGCATATGGTGCAGTAATTTGGGTATATGGCGTAATTTGTAGAGAGGGGATCTCTAGCTGACTTTACAATTAAATATTTGTTCCAGGCCGCGTGCTACGTTCTAATCTTACGCTTTGGTGTTCTTAGGAGCCCTAGCTGACTACCAATGGACAGCGTTTTCTGGCATTACTCGAAAAAGTGTTGCAGTGTCCCTTCAAGGAAGACATGGTCGAAAGCAATATTAACTGGAGAAACGTGAACGAGGGGGGCTGAAGTATGCATGCGGTACTTACCAAAGACTCGAAGTCGATGCCAGTGCTAATGACCTCACGTGAAGGCGAAAGTATTCCATTCTCCTTGATTGTCCGTTCGTACTGACATTTCTACGGGACGGTCCGCATGCCACAGAAAGCACACACGTTTCATGCCAAAACAAGAACAAAAACAATGAACAAAAACACGAGAGAGTCCAAATACAAAACAAGACAAGAGCAGCAAGGTACAAGCACTTCATGCGAAGTGCAGATGTACGTGGGCAAAGTTTTCACAACATAAATTTCTATCGTCACAAAGAGGTTCTGCGCAATCGGCACAAAGAAACTGGCCATAATCCGTGATCACTTGGCTTCTGATACAGTTAGATATGACAGGCCTACTGGATCGGGCAGTAGCATGTAGTGTATTCAATGATCGTTAAGCAGAAATGTCTATCGCTATGAAGTACAGTGTGTGTCGAAAGTTGCCAGGCCTCTACTCCTTGTATATGGTCCTATGAAAACATGGCTTCGGAACTTTTGGCGAACCTTGTACGTAGCGCTGACAGCTAAAGTATCGTGATCCTAGGTGTTATACATATATAATATATTCAGCCTTTGTTTCGTGGCCGAAGCATTGCATGTGCTGTGTTGAATGAATGAAGAACGAATGTAACGATTCGCGGTCGGTGACGTTTCAAAGATTGCCTGTTACGTATGCGCGTGCTCTCTCTCTCTCTCTCTCTCTCTCTCTCAATGCGCCTCTTTAGAGAGGGAGCGAGCGCAGCCTTGTTATTAACTATCGTCTTTTTTTGGCGTTGAAGAGGCCTGCGAAACCTTCCAAACACAGTCAGTCACCGCTGACCGGCTCCCGCACAGAGTTTGCTCGTTTGCAATGTCTGGTGAGGGACTAACGGGAAGCGAAAAAAGTGTTGCGTTAACCTCTGTTTCATGCTAGTGCTAAAACGGCTCATTCATTAATTCCGGCAGTGAGCAGCACATTTAATTTCATTCTGTCGCATAAGCCAGCGTTGCTAAACATTATTTTTTTAAACATGGGAAGCCGTTCATGCGATGCATTCGGGGTTGCAGGGGAATTGGTGAAAACGGGGGACTCGGGCCCAATGGGCCCTACATACCTTCCACTTAAATCCGTTGGCGCGTACATTTTGTCCGAACGATAATCATCTGGTCTGCTGACGTGTCCCTTTTAATTCCTCTTTCGAAAGCTTTGCGCTCGATCCTTTTCAATCAAGAATTCCATGTCAGGCTGATAGCAGCGCTCGCACTGTTTCTGACTTTAATGTATTGGGCACGCGACGCCAAACCAAGGAATTGTAATAGTTTAAGAAAGTGCTACATGCATAACTGCCGTGTCGTAGGAAGCAAGCAGTCGGGTAACGGTATCCGCATCGACTGTCGCCATGTGCAGAAACAGTTAAGTACCTATGCAAGAACCTTTCGGATACCATTTCGGACGCACTTACAGCACGTGGTCAAGTTACGCTTTTCTCTCGTTAACAACGTAGTGCGACGTATTGGCACGCTAAGGTACCGAATCGATATATGACGATTCGCGCTTGCGTTACCGCTTCAATGATTTCAGCTCCATAGCGCGTGGACACCGTTTCACAATACGGTAACGAAACTTGACAAATAGAAGCTAATATTTTTTGAGAAAACTTCTACGACACTTCATATCATGAATATCCTTCATATGATTAAAGCGGGACAAGTCATTGACTGCTATTATAATAGTCATCACCAGGACTTGGAGGATGTCTGTACGTGCATGGTGCCATCTCTTGTCGACGACAGCAGTGGATTGTCGTAACTGAATCGACAAGAGGCGAGAAAGAAAAAAATCGTATCTGACGAAAAAAAGTTAGTAAGTAAAAACGACTTCGGGTATGTTCAGCATTAGCGTCGTACTACAAACTGCGGGCTTCCCAGAGTGTCTTATATTTAACAATGGGTCCCCATGTGTTTTTCAAAATAGGCTTTGTTAAATTGTCCCAGGAGGCCGCACGCTTCGTAGTGCGATGCTGGAATTTAGCCAAAATGGTCTAGCGAATCTCCCGGGTCTATATAAGCGAAAGTCGTTTATAACTAGCTTTGTTAATCCGATATGATTTTTTTCCCCATTACTTCCCATTCAGTAGCGGCAAGAAGCCGTGGCTGCCACCGAGAGATGGCAGTACGTACATATGTCCCCAAATACTGGGCATGACTGCGTGTCATGCCCAGTATCATGCCCAGTATGCTCAGCCAATGCGGGTCGTACCAGAGACTTGATGTCGATTCCGGTGACAGCGATCTCTCTGAATGCTTCGGCGTCCACGGTGTCCTTCCCGGATGATATGTAAACGTCCTTCTGCATCCGGTACGGCATTTGAAGGCACCAGTCACGGAAAGAAAACAACTCTCAGCAAGAGGAACGCAATACTCCGTTCTTTCAGAGCAAATTTATTTCCGCTATAAACGACGCCGATCACGTTTCTTCGTGGGTGCCTCTTATACTGTGGTAGTTACCTAATAGAGCAACGTATGTGTTTACCAGTACTATACTAGATTAGCGCACCGTCGCTATAACACTTGTCATAACACTTGTTCTTATGACAAGTGTCACATGACAAAGGCATGTGTTACCGCATATATTTGTTATGAAGTAACAAAAAATATAAATAATGATAGCATCTTCACGGTGTAGTCATAATTTCCGTGGGAAAGTAATATACAAACTAAGCGTGCATCACAGAGTGTTGTAAACAAATATCGTATAACTTCGAGAAGCTTCAATAATGTTTTCGGTGCTGCAGTGCCGTAAAATAAGTGTTAGAAGAATGAGCAAAATAACAATGATCCGTGGTTAAAAACAATTCACGCTACAGTACAAGAAAAGTAGTTGAGTTAGCGAGGTTTCCATCTGCAACGTATGCGTATAAGCTCAAAGGCGTAGATGAATAAGCAAAAACCGAAAGCGTTCAGGGGAGCACGGAAACTTGAAGCGATGAGCAATCTTTGAACAGGCATGTCATGTTGAATTCCAATGGCAGGTCCAGACAGAGTTTTTTTTTTTTTCTGTTCTGAGCGGAGCAATCACATTCTAATGGCGGACTGGGAGCGTGAATTGTGTGTTCCAATGGCAGATTGTGAGCAACCGCACATCACGGATTGCTCCGTGGAGCAAGAATTCTTGCTCCGCCGAAATCGGTGGATTTGACCGGAAGTGACGTATTCTGTACGCCCGCCTTTCATCCAATCACCGATGAGTGTCCGGAAAACGCTTTGCACTCCTTCGCACCCTCTCGTGCTCCCTCGCTAGATTTCCGCTCACCAAGAGCTCCCGTCGAGACGCGCGCGTTCTAATCGCAGATTTGGCGAGAGCAATCCTGCTCGGATCTGCGCGCTCCATTCGAAATCCGGCCCAGCGCTCGCGATCTGCCATTGGAATTCAACATCAGTGTCGCTGCACGCAATCTTTTGACAAGTTCTGGCAGCCTCGATGAAGACACGTCAATTTGTCGACATATCGTAAGACGTTGTTGGGCTAGTTAGTACCATAGTGTCCTCCAATATTAACTAGAGGGAACTCTGGCGCTGCGATCGCATAGCTGTCATGGGAATGATGGATAGTACACGGATTTGCCTAGTCTTCGTGCCTGCGGGCTTCGAACACACCTGTGGCTTTGTTTATTGCTGTGTTCTGGTTTTGTTTGGGATAAAAGAATGGACCGTTGCGAACGTTGTGAATCTGAATTAATGAACAAAAAAAAAAAGGTTAAGGCGGTGACCTGAAACGGCTTAACGTTTGCTGGACGTCGTCTCGTGAGAAAGCAGCTCAAATGACGTGGAGGCAAAGAGCCAAAAGGACGAGGCTTAGACATATTCATGTACTACCCATCATTACTATGCTGGCAGAAGCACTATGCGTTGCAGCCCCATAGACACTAGCGCCAGAGTTCACTCTAGTGTACTTATAGGAAACCATGCATGGTTAATACTATGGGCGTCGAATGAAACGCGAACAGCTGCACATATTAGAAATGGTATAGCTCGTGCTCTGCAGTCATCATTACTGACTGGCCCGCAGCGCCGCGGTTCGGCTGCACTGCGCGGGGTTGTATACAGAAGTTTTTTTTTTTTTTAATGCGGAGCATTTTGTTACGTGCTGCAGGCACTTCTGGCGTCTATCTGCGTATCTATGTCTATCTAGCCGCTTACGTCTGGTTGCTTTCGTGATAACCCTCTTGGCGTGAACCAAAATTAGTAAGGGAGGGTAAGATGGTTTCGACGAATATGACGCGCTGATGAAGGCATGAATGATGTCGCAATCTCGTCGCGTACATAGTCAAACACTTCGCGCCAGACAGTGCCACGTACGCGCGGGTGTACGTGATTAGTGTCTGCCCAGGAATAGCGATACCACACATGGGCAATTTCAACGCGTGAGCTTTAGAAAAAGCTCACATCGGCAGCGTTGAGCCGACGACTACATTGAAGAAATGACAAGTTCCCTGCAGGAATCAAACCCCAGCATTCTGCGTGGCAATCAAGCATTCTGCCACAGATCCATATGCCAGGTCTTAGAGCTGCTTTTCAAGTTAGACCCTAATATTCGTGAAACGTCAGTTATGGTTGCAGTGCTGGCTATCAAATTTCATAAACATTACATACGTACTCCTATCATAGAGCCGCCGTTATGCCGTGTTAACGTCAGTGGTAGTTAGGTGCCATGCGCTGAAGTTGAATTGAAGTGCCAGCGCTTCATATGAGCCTATCGCTTCTAGTGTGTGTAATACACACGTTCTTGTTGGCACCGTTGCGCAAGTTCAAACTGGTTATATAAACATCTGCAACTGTTCAACATATGCATATGCGTGCAACATTTGTACATATAGTTAGCGACATTTCATAACGTGTCGCTCAATAAAAATTACAACTTTCCCACCTTCCCTCAGCATGCTTCGCATAACGTTGATTCGCAAGCTACCTGGGATCTGCCGAATTGTTTTTTTTTTTGGGGGGGGGGGGGAGCAGGGGACCTTCCTGATTCAAAGTGAAGGCGGGGCAGGCAAATAGTCATTTTGCGCTATGTATGAATGGCGAAAAATATTTCGGTAAGGACTACAGGGCACGAGCCCGGAGTGCCACCTCCTGTGGCACTGTGCATGTCCATGGTGATGACTGCACGGCACGCACTATACCATTTCTAATGTTTAACACTGTTCGAGTTTAATTGTATACTTTTGTATGCTAAACACATGTCACATTCTTGTAATAGTATCAATAAAAGTCTGAAATTGGATGTCGCTATAGTGGAAGCTTACTGAGATTACCCGCTTTCCGGTGCTGTGTCGAGTCCTTCCTTAATTGTTTCGCGTCATTTGTTTTTAATTCAGCTTGTCAAAAAGTCGCCATCAGCGACAATCCCTGCCCATCGATTTCTCATCGCAGGATAATAAGAAAAGGAAATCATATAACGTGCTTACCAGCTTCGATACCGACACGGGGCATTCTATTTCTGGCCGGTAATAGTCGTCGTCTGTGCCGTTAGTGAGCTGTTAGAACACAAAGGTCAAACGGTGAGCATGCGTCAGTCAAATTCCTTTCTTTATCTACAATGACACATAACTAAACAATTTCAGTTCCCTGTGACTGTACCAACAGATCGTAAGAACAGAACGTTAACAAGTGTTTTTTTTTTTAATTTTTGATATTCATTTTCCTCTTTCTTGAGGGTTATGTTAAGGACGGAGTGTTAGCAATGGGGTGTCAACAATTTTCTTATTAATAAGCACGTGAAGCGCAGAAATGTAATTCCCAAATGACGTTAGCGTAAGCAACTCAAATAATTTGCGCAGAGGCTTTAGTTAAACGAGGGTGATGAAATGACTAGTGTGTGAAGGTTAGGGTCGCGCGAATGTCACAACTATTTAAAAAAAACTAGAATGAACAAAATAAAAAGAACAAAAAAACGGAGTAAGGAATGAGCCCGAAGTTTATCCCTTCATACCTTCAATACAGAAATGTATGCAATAATTATGAGAGGTTCACGTGCTAAGGCAGATGAGGTGCGATGTACTTCAGCTAGCGCGACATTGTAGCTGAGGTATATGTGCATTATACACATTGAAATTATCTTGATATTGTTTAAGAACAGCCATAACGCACTGACATCGTTGGCTGAAGCTTTTTTTTACCATATAATGCGCTTGTCATAAGATTGATGCAGCCGTATTATTTGGGATGTTATCTGTAAACCTAGCGATTATTTTAATGCCTTTTTTTTCAGTTTGGAGCCAATATTGAAGTCCATTCGTGCGCCCATATATATATATATATATTTATATATATATTTATATATATATTTATATATATATATATATATATATATATATATATATATATTTTATATATATATATATATATATATATATATATATATATATATATATATATATATATATATATATATTTTATATATATATTTATTTTTTATACGGTGGAAGCAAAATTCAAATGAAGCCTTGTCTGACTGCAATACAGATTTATGCCTTCCGCATGCATTTTAACAAGGTGGAGAGGCATCGGACCTATCTCTAGCGTCGTGATCTGTACTTATATGTAGTGTAAATGACATGCTGAACGACAGCACTGATTCCTGTTCGGGGATTTGGCATCTCAGCAAACAGACATCACACATGCGAATGTGCAGGGTAGCAAACGAGCATGCCAGTGCTTTTCCTTTCATGTTCCATATACGAATGAAGAAGTTGAACTGTTTCTGTGCAACGTAGTGTTGCGTGGTAACGCCTCAACTTAAATCAAATGCTGCACAGCACACACTCAACATCTCGATCACCTTTCGCGCTTTGCTGTGCAGCCCGCTCAGCAAAATGCCAAAGGTAATTCCAACACCATGCAGTGGCGTTGATACAGAAATATCTCGGAGGGAGGGGGGGGGGGGCACACCTTGATATGGTAGCCATTTTAGTTTAATAAATGTGGGTTTTACTTTTAATTATACAACAATTATAATCTCGCTTTCGAATAAACGAGCATTGGTTCTCAGCTCGCGTGATTGCATTTTCTTTTAGTCTTCTCTGAAACTGGTCGAACGACAGTTGATTTAAATTGTATTACACAGCTGAAGGGTACTGAACACACTAAACAATAAACACTAGAAAATTTGAACGCGCTCGATGTAGCTGTCAAGCAATTCAGAGATATGATGTTTGAAGAACGAATTTTAAGGGGGCACGCTAGCAAGGAATGACCCCCCCCCCCCCCACATCCTGAGCACAAAGGCGTCTCCCCCCCCACCTCCCCGTGATTTACGCCACTGCCAGCATGTACCACCACCACACGCCACAACAATCATAAACGAGATGATTGCGAGGTTATGTTAGAACACCACCATGTGCACGTAGTAAACAGACAATCTCGTGTTACAGTAGAAGAGCGAAAAAAATAAAAAAAGCACTAAAAAGCGGTCAAGCAGTGATGCCAACTTACGCTTCGCAACAACGTCCACGCATTTAGCCTGACGCCCATTACGAAAAAGCGGGCTCAGAGCACAGCTGCACACTCTGATGGCGATGACATTTCATCAAGAAGAGCGTGCTATATCGATAAGCTAATCGGTTTCGCATGTGGCGCCGAAATGCGGGTCCCGAAAGAAGTATGACAGTGAGTGAAGAGGAGGGTAGCATCGCGGTACTCGATTACGGAGTTGAGCGCGGCTCACACAAACGCTCGTCGGCTTGTTTTTCGTCTCCTTGCCTTTCGCGGCTCGATATCGACTTGGCTTTGGCTCGGCGCCTCGGCTCACTGGCTCCAAAACGTCGGCCGACAGCGGCGATCCATCAAGTTACGCATCGAACAAAGGCGAGCACAGGGCGGCAACAAAAAGCGCGCCGACGGCCTCTGACGTCGCTCTGTTGCGCGCGCCTTGAGACGCTCTCCCGCTCGCGTCTGCGATGTTCCGCTAAAACGGTGCAGAATCGCCGATAGTAGATGCGGGAAATATCGCCCTACTGTATATCGCGTACTTTCTTGACAGTATTGGGAAGCTACAGTACCGAAACACATGTCTGCTAACATTACAAATAACAGTACTGAAATTTACTGATTTTCTCATTTGTCTCGATGAAATAAATGCCGCTTTATTTATTGTGGGATCATCTTCTAAGAAAAGCACGCCCGTTTTTTCAAAGTAAGTACATCGTTCATGACATAGTGGGAATTAGTGAGCGGCCGCGCACGCGCTGTTTAGTTCAACAAAAGTATACTCTAGTATGACGCTAACTTATATAGTGAACAATTTAAATGTTTCTTCCAGTTACGTTTGCTGTGTATACAGTTTCCTAAAGGCGTTAATGTTGCGGACGAGCAAAACCGAAATCAGCCGCTAATTGCCGCACTATACTTGCGTAGGTACACGAAACGGAAGCCCCGCGTACCATAGCCTTCACTCCATTTTCAAGATGATTTGTCAGGTATTGCGTGGTCTGCATGGCCGCATCGATTTGTCCTTGGGCGCTTTGCAGGTGGAATACCACGTGGACTATAGTTATGCACGTAAATAGAGAACTACATATATTTAAGAAAGATATATGAGACTTCGTTGTAGGCGACGGGATCTTATTTGCATCACAATTAGAACATTCATGAACATTGTGTCAGCTTTTAACGGAAGAGAAACCGGATGCTTAATCCAGGAAAATGTACCCGCTGCGAACGCTGTCCGACTATTCTTGAATATAGTCATGCAGAACTTAGTTCGAAGCTAGGCCGACCGATGGTTGTGCGAAGAAAATAACGCTAGTGTGTGACTGCGGCGCAGTGGATAGCATGCCCGGCATCTGTTGTATACCGTGAGGTTCATGGTTTCCCACCCGAAGACGGGACTTTTTTCTTTCGAAATCTGATCGTGTGTATCTCTTCGACGTCATTTCCGTGACGGAAACCCGTCGCTGACGTCTTGGTGTACCCCGGCGTAAAAAAAAATCGTGTTACAAAAAGAAAGAAATCAGCTCTGTGGGAACTCTGTTGACTGGTCATTTGAAACTGACGCATGCACAGTGATGCTCGCATCGCCAGGCAATGCCGTTTCAGATTTTATGCGTCTATTGCGTAATTCGTAATGGGAATGAGAAACGCTTGCTGTTGAGGTATACTTGACAATATATCGTGCATATGTTCGCTTGTACACTCATGATTATCCCGATGACCGCACGAGGCAAGTGTAATATTTCCTTTATAGCCTTAATACGAATATTATGATGGATAGAACCAGTGCTTCACTTTTTTGCAAGACTGCACGCATTCAGTGATGGGCCCGAAAAGAAGCACAATGCACACGAGTAGACGCACCACTGCAGCGCCCGTTTGCCTTCACTTCGGCGCCCGAAGAGCGCTAAGAATTTCGACAGACCCTCGTGAGCGCTTAATATCGGTGCTTTCGCACGAGGCGTCGAATGTGACAGCTCCTGTCAGACCATCACGCCGAACGGACGCGCTGCAGCCTTAATTCTATATCTCGTTTTTATTCATTTCGTGTGGTGTCTTTTTCGCGCTGCCAAACTTCAATGGCAGCAAGGCAGCAATTTCGTTCTTCGCAAAGCTGGGTTTTTTGTTGGAAGTACGTGTGCTGAACTGCCTGTGGCCCCTTTTCGAGTCGGGACTCGCTGCGGAATAGAAATAAAGAAACAAAGGAAATGTGTTCAGAGATATGCCGGAAAATATGACGGGATATTGCACGTGGTGTCGAGGTGTGGCCTGCTGTCAGTAAAAAACATGAATCGCCTTTATACTTGTCCGATAGCTGTAGTTTCTTTGTGGCGGCAGTATGCATACCATCCATTGCGCCCTGTTTCGTGATAGAATAAGCGGCGTTTTGCAAGTCACGCGTTGCGTTGATGACGACGTGTAAGAAGACTTCGATTCTTGTCGACGAATGGCGGTGTGTAACTAGGCCTAAACGAGGCCAAACCGTCATTCCCCGTTTTTCTAGCAGGAGGTCTGAAGAGTTATCAAATGATCGCCGCTCGTTACGTGCCCTGTGTCGCGTGACTTGGAAAGCGATGTTTCAGGTAAGGCGCAGAAATCTATCAAGGCCGGAGAGCAAAATGAGCCGGGCAGTCTTCGGGCATAGAGAATAAACAGTTTAAGTGCAGCACGAGTGAAAAAGATATTTTCCACAAGTGAAGCCGGTGGTCGTGCGAGGAGGAGCGCGAGAGATTGTCTCGCGTTGTTCTAGTTTTCCTTCGAGAGACTGGATAAAGTGTCAGATTGTCAACTCCTTAGATAGATATGCTCGGATGTACTGCCGGACAGGGCTGTCTGGCTAATCCCACCTGTAAACCGCTTGCACCCTTAATTTGAAGCAGCCAAAACACTTTTTAACCTTTTCAGAATTCGCAAAGTGGGGTGCAAGGTTGTTTTGCTTGCACCAAATAGCATTTCGTTAGCACGAGGGTTGCTGCTTTACTAAAGCACCATTTAGGAGGTAATGCGTTTATGGATTACCAAAACACCCATGGCCCATACGGCAGGAGTACCAGCTGTTAATCAAAACTCGCTAATCTGAAATGCGCTGAATACTGCGTGGGTTTAGGATAACATATCTGTTTGACTTAGGACTGCCTGCAAGCCTTACGCAAATTGAGCCATATCATGTGAATTTTTGTTTAATTATGCAAAATAGGAGCATAGTCATTAGCACTGAACGGCAGCTCAAAATAGTGTGCCTGCACATTCGGTGTATGGTCATAGAGAAACATACTTACGGCTAGAGCGGACACTCCCGTAGGGGCCTTGCGGGCAAGCTACTTCGCTGCTTTCAGCGCCACGAGTGGCTGGTCAGACCCGATAATGTCTTCAACATAATTGAAATAAATTTTTCTTTCTGATGCGGGGATTTGAACCCGTACCCTCGTGCTTAGAAAGCTAGTGCATTTACCACTAGACTACACACCCATGCTTCCGCAAAGTGAATAAATTTGCAGTGCATCTAAACCACATGAATTTGCACCCTTTGTGCAGAACAAATGCAGAAAGACAACACTTTCTAGCCTGACTTGATGGATTTTTGTTGCAAAGCATTAAACGTCCTCCGCGGGACACGATGTTGAGCGGATATGGAAAATTGCGCAAATCAATAAAATTTCGTCTTTGCAAAACTTTGATGCCAATCTTGAGTGTTGAATGTCTTTCCGACGTGGATATTACATGTCTCGAAAAGCGAGCATACGAGAGCATGTGTGCGCCATCTAGCAGTTGGTCAGACCCTTTCTTATCGGGCCGCAAAAAGGCTCGAGTGGCCAGTATCTTTCTCTATGGTATGGTTGCGTAGCCCTAGCGCTGTGCCCAATTGGTACTTACGCGATATATCATTCCGCATATACGGTTGGCTGTGCAGTGTATCATGGCATCCTTTGATGTTCATGCAATCGTATATCCCTCAACTGGCAAAGTGTTTGTTTTATTGAAAAAAAAAGTCTTCAAAAGATTAGTACCCCCCTCCCCCCCTACCCGAATGTTTCCGTTTATGCCATGATGTGTGTTTTGATTCGTGAACGCACATTTCTCTTATACGGTATCGAGGTATAGTTACATACATGGTAGAATCTCCTTGAGGGTGTTGAAGTGGTTTGCTGTGTGTGTGATCACCAAAGTACAAGTCAGCTCGGAACGCAGCTCTACGTAAAGCTTACCTCGGTCTTTTCGGTGACGCCGTTCAGACCATCGTAGGCACCAGCCCTGGCAGTGACCAGCTCGGTGTCCACTCTGCTCGTCGAGGTGATGCTCGACTGCTGCAACGTGATGCCTTCCTTGCTGCTCGTCCGAGCGCTCGCCACCACTCGCTTGCTCTTGGTGACCGAGGACTTTGTAACGCCCGCCTGCGGCGCAATGCATGGCGGTGGATAATCGCTGTGACATATCAACGATTCGAAGAGCACACAGCTGAAGCACCTGCACTAGTGTTTATCTGCGCCGGTTCGTACATGTTTAAGGAAACGCCAACCAGTTCAGTCCGAGCACAGGACCAAGAACAGAGACGAACTAAGCGCTGATTTACGACCAAAGCTCTGAAAGGTGACGGATCGTGCTAGTTGGTACTTCACGATCAAAGGCAGGGACGTCCCATCTGTTCTTGTTCCTTGTGCGTTCTTCCGCGCTATTACGTTTCTGACCAAAGCTTTATTCTGTATAATGGAGCGTATATACGCACATTGGTCACGAAAGGATCTGGGTGAGAGAGGACAAATGTGATCAGGTATCTGTTAACAATTCTGAAAGAACAAAACGCCATTACTCAATTGAAAAAAAAATGCAAGTTCCTTGGTGAGGAGCGCTATCGAAGGCTCACTAGCGCACTTATCACCGTTTTTTTTTTTTGTTGTTGATGCAACAGCCAGCGCTTAGTCTCTCTTTGTCTTCTGGTTCGCGCGCTTTCACGTTTCCTTGATTATAATTTCATGCGGCCAGAAAGGAAAGTTTATTCAAGTACATCACGAGAGCCTCAGGCGACGACTGGTGTGACATCCTGTAATGCACAATAATTATTCATGAATTTTCAAGTCCCAAGACCTCTACGTGATCCTTAGAGACGTCGTAGTGGAGGGCTCTGGAAATTTTGACCTCCTGGGGTTCGTTAAAGGATCTTCTAGCATTTGGCACCCCCCCCCCCCTCCCCACTACTCCTCGTGTGCACGGCTATGGTTATAAGACGAGACCACCAAAATGACTTTGTCTGCTGAACTTAGTCTGATTTCTCCGTTTCCGCTACAATGGTAAAATGGCCATGCGTGAAACTATCTTTTGACAATCTGTTGAAACACTACCGCACGACGTCTTTTCGCATTTCCATGACCCTGATTTGGGGTCAGGGGTCACAAATGGCGTCATCTCTCGTCGGCGACAACGATGGCCTGCCGTAAACAAATGTGAAAGGAGGGAGAAAAAAAATATCTGGCGGGGAAAATGTGCAGCAGTGACCCACTGGAACACTAATAAAATCAGAGTCGCATTACAACCAGCGTGCCTTGCCAGAGTGTTTAAAATATTACAATGGGGCCCAGTTTGTTTCATACGGGCAGCGCTTAGTAGTCCTAGAAATCCACATGCTTTGTTGTGCGACACTGCAATTTCGCTAGAATGTTGCATTGTTTCTGTGCTGCATATAACTGGAAGTGGTTTTTGGTAGCTAGCCTTTATCGCCAGGTATCATTTTTTTTCCTCGCCTATTTGACATTCAGTTAAAGCGGGTTACTCTCGCTGGCACCGACCTTTCGAGCCACGTACAAACATCCTCAAACCCTGGGAAAGGTAATCGGTTATCTTCGTGTTGTCGACAATGACCGGCAATTGCATTATGAACCACTGCTGAGTTTTTTTTTTATAAAACTTATGCTGTGAGTTTCCGTACCATGACAAGTTTTTTTGTCAACTACGAAACTTTCTTTTTTTTGCGAGAAATATTTATGAACTTCCTTCTTGAGTCGTGCTATGAACTCGTGAATGCTAATTTTTCTTTACATAGCCTTTTCTACAGCTTACGCTATTCCGCAGTACACATTTTCTATATTTATGATGTCATTATTTTTTCGAGTACAGTAGCCTTCTTGTATGCCTTCTTGTAGTTATGGTTTCTATTTGCCCTGTAATGACGCATTTCAATGTGTGCATTAGACTACATAAAACTTCTTTTACCATGGTCGATGCGGGTCTCATTTCCACTATAGAACAGAAGAGTATGCACAATTGTAGCACTTATATCAAGAAGCGACATGCACAAGCGGGGTAACGCACATTAGGCGTGAGCAAGCTGCGCCAATTACGTGGGTATCGAGCATGAGTGGACTTACAGGCGTATACTCAAACTCATCTTCACTGCTCTCAAGCTCTGGCGAGTCAGCTGCTTCTGCCGTGTCAGTGGGTGAGCAAGCCAATACGAGGGTCGTGCAAAGGTTGTTAGGACTATGCGCAGGGTCCAGCGAATCGTCGTGCCGATCGGGAGACAGAGGGGTGCCTTCCACTCCCAGCGGCTTATTGGTGGATATATATCTCCGTCATCGCGATTTGACTGCGACAGATTAAAAGACATCCTAATGAGAACCGATGGGCCTTGGATCATAACCGGTGACTCAACGCCCATCACATGCTTTGGGGGAGCACTAGGATGAATGCCAGGGGCCGGAACATTTTACATTCGCTTCCGATTACGACCTTTCCATCATGAACGATGGTACCCCCACATATCTGCGGGGTCTCACGTATGGCAGTTGCCTTGACCTGACATTGGTGTCACGGTGCTTCTCTCACAAAGTTAAGTGGTTTTGCGATATTGAGACTCATGGGAGTGATCACATACCCACCTACGTGACGATCGATGGTATCGTAAAAAATTTCTCTTTCGGTGTTGCAATTTGGCACTGATGGTCGATGTTTGCATCGCGTGTTGAGAACGCTTGCCAAGACGGCCTCGCCTGCAGCCTGGAAAATACCATAGTGGAAGCTATGCAAGCGTCCAAATGTAAATTACCATTTTCGTCTAAAGTTACACAGTTTGACATCGAACTGGAAAAATTACGAGCTATACGAAGGCGTGCAGAACGACGATACAGACGCACAAGATCAATTTACGATCCGAGGGAAGCAAGGCGGCTCCAGAAAAGATTCAACGACGCATTACAAACTGGAGAGCGAACGCTGGAAAGCATTCTGCGAATCTCTAGACCCTCATAAACCGCTGTCATATATCTGGAGAACAGTTCGTGGTCTTCGCTCCTCTCCACAACAACGGCACCCTTTTAAAGCTTTGACACTCCATCAGGGAAAAACAGAACTCGAGGTGGCTGAAGAATTTTGCACGAGAGTTGCCGGGAATATTGTGAACGAGAGCATCGACGCCGTGATCGTTCCTGAGACGCGATTACCAGAAATGGACATTCCGTTCACCATGGAAGAACTGGAAGGTGCGTTAGTCGCTTCTAGGCGCATGTCATCGCCAGGTCCTGATGGTATTACTTATAGTGCGTTGGGACACCTTGGACAAAAAGCTAGAAAAGAACTTTTAACATGCTTCAACAACACCTGGCTCAGCGGCAGTGTTCCCCGAGAATGGAAAATTAGTCGATTAATACCACTTTTGAAATCGGGAAAATCACCATTGGACTTGACAGCGTATCGCCCTATTGCCCTCGCAAGCTGCCTCGGAAAAGTGATGGAAAGGATGGTTCTATTTCGTCTCGAGTGGTACTTGGAACGATACACCAAATACCCTTCTTGCATGGCAGGCTTTCGTCGGGGCCGCTCCTCCATTGACTGTGTCCTTGATTTGTCGACATTTGTTCAACAAGAAAAAAGTCGCAAGCGCATATCAGTGGCACTCTTTCTTGACGTGAAGGGTGCATATGATAATGTAGCTCACGATGCCATCCTCACTTCTCTCGCAGCGATGGGCGTTGGTGGACGAATGTTTCAATGGATAAAAGATTATATAACTGGCAGAGGTTTCTTTGTACAAACATATGAGGGTACAACTGCCCAACATTACACCTACTGCGGAGTACCTCAGGGAGGTGTTTTAAGCCCCACATTGTTCAATGTGGCCCTCATTGGTCTGGTGAAGGTTCTGCCAAAGTCGGTGTGCCTATCCATATACGCCGATGATATTTGCCTCTGGAGTGCTGCAGTTACTCGCCCTCAGGTGCGTGCACGAATACAGCGGGCAGCAACACTCACAACAGCCTACCTTCAGAAACAAGGCCTAAAGATATCAACTGTGAAGTGCGCGTTGATGGCGTTTACACGCAAACCAATGACGCCATACCCTGTTTACATCAATGGGCAGAGTGTCAAATATGCACGGACGCATCGTTTCCTGGGCATAATAATCGACAGAAGTCTTTCGTGGAGCCCACATTGTGCGTACTTGAAGAAGAGACTGCTATCTATTGTGCATATCATGAAATTCTTGTGCGGTAAAGCATGGGGAACTTCTGTGGCCTCCATGCTACAGCTGTACAGGGCCCTATTTCTGGGTCTATTGCGCTACAGCTTGCCGGTACTGACTAACACTTGCAAATCGAATACTCATTCATTGGAGAGTTTGCAGGGTCAGGCACTGCGTATCTGCCTAGGACTGCCCCGATGCGCTTCTACTTATGCCACAATCATGCTTGCCAAAGACCATCCGGTCAGGACATATATAGCTGTGGATTGCCTCAGAGCGCACATTCGACATGCTAGCCGTGTCCCCGACCACCACTTGGCCCTTCTATCTTCCGGAAGACCACGTGCTACGTTTTCAGACGTCATAGCCAAGCACCTAAACAGCATTCCATCAGGATATACGCCAGCTGCGAGAACGGCATGCCCTTTGTGGTGCCTCGACCAGCCGCAAGTACGTCTAGAAATTCCGGGAATCAAAAAGAAAAGCAGTCACTCCAGAGTAGCATTGAAGCAAGCAACACTGCTATTATTACATGAGTTGTACTTAGACCGAACGCAGATATACACTGATGGGTCCGTCTCATCCAGCAGCTCATCAAGTGCCGCTGTAATTCCGGCTGCAGAAATGACAATCAAATTTAAGTTGTCACATATGACTACATCTACGGCATCAGAGCTTGCTGCTATAAGGGCTGCTTTACAATATCTCGTTCAAGAACGTCCAGGAAAATGGGTCATATTCTGTGATTCGAAGGCAGCGCTTCAGAGTTTGCAGTCTGCCATGCGTAGGAGGAGCCATGACCAACTGGTACAAGAAATAAGACATTGCCATCATGAAGCTCTAGCACGAGGGCATGATATTATATATCAATGGCTGCCTGGACATATCGGTATTACCGGAAATGAACTAGCCGATGATGCAGCCCGCTCAGCCCATGAAGAAACCCGTGTAGTCCCGATTCCTCTATCAAGGAATGATGCAGCAAGACAACTTTACCTGCTGGCTCGAGATCTCACACGCACGTTCTGGTCGTCTACCAGCTTCCAAAGGTGTCAATTTTATGAACTGGATCCTTCGCTAAAGCTAAAGCTACCATCACAACTTTCCCGCTCCGATGCGACACTGTTATGCCGCCTTTGGTTGGGTGTTGCATTCACAAAGGTGTACTCCTTTCGCATTGGTATGGCAGACACTCCTACATGCGACTACTGCGGAGATGAAGAAACCATCGAACACGTCCTCTGCAGCTGCGCTTGCTACGACACACAGCGATGCCAGCTACGGATGGTTTTGAATCGACTTGACCCCGGACCATTTTGTGTGCGGAAGATACTAGGACCTTGGGCATCTGCCTCAGTTGCGCAGAAAGCAACTAAAGCACTGCTTCTTTACCTTAAGTCAACAAACCTGAGCGACCGCCTGTGAACTGTGTGTGCTCACCGAGTGTGCTCGTGATTGTGTGTACCTTCTCATCTTTGTGCAACCTCTTTTCTCCCCTTTATCCCTTCCCCAGTGCAGGGTAGCAAATCGGATGTGCGTCTGGTTAACCTCCCTGCCTTTCCTTGTATCTTTATCTCTCTCTCTCTTCTAGCACTTGGCACCCCCCCCCCCTACTCCTCGTGTGCACGGCTATGGTTATAAAACGAGACCACCAAAATGACTTTGTCTGCTGAACTTAGTCTGATTTCTCCGTTTCCGCTACAATGGTAAAATTGCCATGCGTGAAACTATCTTTTGACAATCTGTTGAAACACTACCGCACGACGTCTTTTCACATTTACATGACCCTGATTTGGGGTCAAGGGTCACAAATGGCGTCATCTCTCGTCGGCGACAACGATGGCCTGCCGTAAACAAATGTGAAAGGAGGGAGAAAAAAATATCTGGCGGGGAAAATGTGCAGCAGTGACCCACTGGAACACTAATAAAATCAGAGTCGCATTACAACCAGCGTGCCTTGCCAGAGTGTTTAAAATATTACAATGGGGCCCAGTTTGTTTCATACGGGCAGCGCTTAGTAGTCCTAGAAATCCACATGCTTTGTTGTGCAACACTGCAATTTTGCCAGAATGTTGGATTGTTTCTGCGCTGCATATAACCGGAAGTGGTTTATGGTAGCTAGCCTTTATCGCCAGGTATCATTTTTTTTTCTTGCCTACTTGACATTCAGATAAAGCGGGTTACTCTCGCTGGCGCCGACCTTTCGAGCCACGTACAGACATCCTCAAACCCTGGGAAAGTTTAATCGGTTATCTTCGTGTTGTCGACAATGAGCGGCAATTGCAGTATGAACCACTGCTGAGTTTTTTTTTATAAAACTTATGCTGTGAGTTTCCGTACCATGACAAGTTTTTTTGTCAACTACGAAACTTTCTTTTTTTGCGAGAAATATTTATGAACTTCCTTCTTGAGTCGTGCTATGAACTTGTGAATGCTAATTTTTCTTTACATAGCCTTTTCTACAGCTTGCGCTATTCCGCAGTACACATTTTCTATATTTATGATGTCATTATTTTTTAGAGTACAGTACCCTTCTTGTAGTTATGGTTTCTATTTGCCCTGTAATGACGCATTTCAATGTGTGCATTAGACTACATAAAGCTTCTTTTACCATGGTCGATGCGGGTCTCATTTCCACTATAGAACACAAGAGTATGCACAATTGTAGCACTTATATCAAGAAGCGACATGCACAAGCGGGGTAACGCCCATTAGGCGTGAGCAACCTGCGCCGACTACGTGGGTATCGAGCATGAGTGGACTTACAGGCGTATACTCAAACTCATCTTCACTGCTCTCAAGCTCTGGCGAGTCAGCTGCTTCTGCCGTGTCAGTGGGTGAGCAAGCCAACACGGGGGTCGTGCAAAGGTTGTTAGGACTATGCGCAGCGTGCAGCGAATCGTCGTGCCGATCGGGAGACAGAGGGGTGCCTTCCCTCCCAGCGGGCTTCTCAAGACGTTGGTGTCTTGCTGATGATTCAGCGGACTGGCACACGCCACCGTCTCCACGCTGGTCGTCCTTGAGGACGTGTCCATATCCGAACTCATGGCCGACGACGTCTCCCTGGTCATCTCGGGTACCGGGCTGGTGAAGTTGTCTTCGACTGTTGCAGGCCGAGTCCTCTTCTTCTTCAGGCGTGCTGACCACGTAATCTACAAACTGATCAGGCGGTGGGGCGTCGGCGCCTTCTCCAACGAAGCTGGCCAGCTCCTGAACGGCGCTGCTGACTCCGCCAAATCCGTCGTCACTTGCTTCCTCCTCCTCCTCCGGTATTGCTTCCGGTCGGCATTCAGCTTCATCTGGCGTGGTCACCTGGTATGAGACTGCACTCTGCTATCGACTGTCCTACTGCTGTGCTGTCGACCCGCTCTCCTGGACTTCCCAGGCCTTCGTCCAAGTCAAGAGGTCGACGATTTGCACAGAACTCCCGCCACGGCGGCTCTCTCCTCTCACAGGTGGCGTGGGCGTTTCTTCCTCGTCAACTCCGTCCTCGGGAAGGTTGGCCAAAGGGGAACCAACCAGGTCTTCCTGTTGTGCAGTAGGGCTACTACCGGGTGGCCCTCCATTCAGCGGGCTGGAGCTCTCCGGGTTCAGACTGGACGAGGAATCGGATGCGTCTACGGAGAGGTCGACCTCACGAGAGTCATCTTCCGACTTTGGGTCAGTGAGATCGAGCTCGTCTTCGTCCTCCTCGAGTATAAAGGCCTGGTGTCCTCCGGGAGATGTCGTCACCGTCACTCCCACGAGAAGGTCCGGCCTCTGGTCGGCGTCGCCCGTGCAGCTGTATCGTTCAACGTCGTCTCGCCCCGTTCCTCTTCCGCCATCGCGTCGCGATCGTTTTGCGTCGTAGACGACGTCGATTGTATGTTGGCCTGCAGCTCCTGCAGTGATTCTAGGTCCAATAGGTAGGACTTTGGATTGTATTTGTAGTTAGTATCGTTAGCGATTTCAGGGGGTTCGTTAGCAAAGGGAGGGTCTTCGGGGGACGAGTCGATAAGATCGACAGGGGGTTTTGTCTCGGTCGGGGAAGACAGCTGGAAACTCATTGGGTCAAAGTCAAGCGTCAGGGGTTCACCCAGCAAGATGCCATTTACCGGAGACTGTGGGTTACTCACAGAATCGGCCACGTCTGACATGGTCACCTGAAACGACACAGAAAAAAAAGCAATATTAGCACGCACTCAAGCATGAAATATTCACCGCATATATAGAATGACAAGGTTCAAAAAGGGTTTTCAACTAATACGGTGACTATCACAGCACACCGCAGTTTGAGCATACGGTGGCTGATGGCCGCCGATCGAAACACCCTACGTGTCCATCGTCACAGTGGGCTGCGAGATGTTGCATTACCGATATGTATTTGTACTCGACCGGTACGTATACGTTATGCCATGCTGGACACCCGTTTTAGGATGCACAGAAGGTATAATAAAGTCGAAGTTGATGAAACGCAGAGGCATCCAAGAGACTAAAAACAAGAAGGCTGAAGAACAAAGAAAGACCAGAAGGCATTGTACCGCAGATGGCAAGTGACGAAAATACGGCAGGGAACGCCATACGTCCGCCTCGAGCTAGCCTTGAGACGAATCGAGACCAATTAACCGCGACCCTCAGAGTATAAATGTCGCGTAGAAGAAGCCGTCGGGCATTCAAGATGTTCTCCGCCGGAACAGCGACAACGAACAGTTAGCGAGGTTGCTCCAGACAAAAGGCTCGATTCTTCCGCACCCGGGGAAGAAAGAGGCTAGCAGCGAAAGAGCGCGTTGCCTACCGGTTAACACAAGAAAGAGAGCAGAGCCCGAGGCAATCGTTGCCAAGAAGACCCGCCGCTCTGTCGGAGGAAGAGGCCCCGAGCACGCTACACAACCGGGTCCTTCGGAGGTGAAGTGGAAGGAAGGCGGGGTGTGCCGCAGTCTCGGGACCTTTCTGCCGTCCGGATCCTCCGCGAGGATAAAATTAGAGCTCGCTCCCTCCGCATACGCTCTTTCTTTCCTTTTTTTTTTTTCGCGCAATCTTCGCTCTGTGTGCGTCCGCCAATCTCGAAGTCTTCAGCAGACCTCTCGTGGCACATCTTCTCTCGCTCGCTTTGTGCGCGCGTACTCGGGAGACTTATTGGTCGTCCAGGCGGGTCCGATGGCGCAACCGTAGGCGTCGCAAACGGTTTCGTAGCCGTCTTCCGAGTACACTGGTCGTCCCGATTCCGAGACGTCATCTTCGCGTCACGGCAATGCTCGCAGACCTGTTCTGGGTTAGCGCCAGTTGGGTTCATGATACAGAGCTGAAGACGTCGCGAACGAATTCGTTTCAGCTGTTTGAGTTAATAGTCCTGCACTACGCACGCATAGGTTCAGCTGTTCAGAACGAATACAAAAGGCCCAGCAACAACAACCCTGGAAGTGATTTGAATAAGTTTTGTTTCTGTAGCTTTTCTGTTTTGTATGAACTTAGTACTTTTGTTGTTCCCTGTTGTTGAATGTTAAGAACTATTAAGCGTGGTATTCAAGTCCCATCATTTTTAGTGTCATAGGTTTGGCTGGAATGAAAACAGTGTCAGGATTCCTAACCGACAGGGCATTCCAGCTTTGAAAGCCGGCAAACTACATTCTGGAATGCAGTTGTGTTGCTACAGAGGCTAGTGGTTGACTTGCAAAGCACAATACCTTAAAGAGTTGCGCAAGATGTACTCAGCCTGAAAAGAGATACGCATGTTTCGGCTTTAGTTTGTTGGTTGTTTGTTCCCTTCTTAGTGCTGCTTTCTCGGCCATTTCTCCTGACTAACTTAAGTTTAGTTTCTCCTAACTAACTTAAGTTTAGTTTAGTTTGACCTGCTACGCAGCGTTCAGGAAGGGTAAGAGTTGTAAAGAAGAAAGGGCGAGAAATGGTGTCGATTATGAGGACGAAGAGGCGAGGGAAAAAAAAACTTGAATGGGTAAAGACTCTCTATCTAAAGTTTCCTATCCAGATTGTTTTCGCGGAAAACTTGTTGAGAGCTTTGAATATAAGCTGTTAAAGACGGAACTAAATTCTCAGCAGACTGAAGAAGAAAATCTTGTCCGAGATATTTATTCGCGTCTTATTCTTCATAAAGGCAATGTGGCAACTACAGCTTTACAATGGACATTGCCTGTGTAGCTCCGCGAGAGTAAAAGTTGTTAATTCACCTCTGTTGATGGCTTCGCCTCGGAGTTTCGATTCATTCATCGCCTGCTTTCAGCAAGTAGTTTGTTTCATAGGCACTTCGTGACTTATTGGAGAGTCTCAGGTGACAACAGACGTCAGGAATGACGTCGACATTTCGACGACGCTTCAAGGGTTGAGGGTCTGTAACTTCTGCCAACACACGACGTGTGCGTAATGGCAGTATTTGTGGGCGACACGACCATTGCCGTAGGAAATATGCGCTGCTGTGGCTCCTTCGATCCCGCTTAGGAGCTAATTATGGCTCGCGACGTGGAGGCATGAAAAGAGAAAAACAAAAGCAAAACGGAAGTGCAATCTCCGGTCGCGCTCAGAGTTCAGCGATGCCGTCACGAGAAAGAAACAGTTATTTATACTTTGTGTCATACACCGCCAGGTGACGGCTGGAGCGCATCCACCTTGACGTGTTTGTATGTAAGCACACTTGTGCGTACGTTACCAAAATTAAAGGCCTCCCGATCGTTCAGTTCTGGTCCACCATCGAGCTAAACTTTTCTCAGTGACAAATGTTGCGACGCGCATTCACTATAATATAAAGCAGGTGAGGCGCGCTATATGCTGCTGTGGATATGCCTTAGTGGTTTGCTTGAGCCGCTACATTTAGTCAAACGTGTTGGTGGGACCTTCGAAACTGGGGCGCCTGGGTGAACGCAAATATTGTTGCGTCGCAAACAAACACAAGTGCTCAAGCGTTTCGTGTGGGCGCTGAGTCGAGATAGTCCGACTTCGTGTTTCGAGTCTGTACTGCTACCTTGGACCTCATGTTCGTTCTTTTTGCAACATGTTCGAACGCAGCCTCTTTCAATTATGTGAGCCTCTTGTCCAGAGACGTCAGTTACAAGGGCAGGAGGGCGTTCAGTAGCTGTGACTTCACGCTTGCGCACATTTGCGGGGACAGAATCCTAAGGCAGCTACCGTTACAGCTCGACTTGTATTCTTGGCCTGCATACAGCCGGAATAAGCATAAGGCGAGCGCCAAGACCAAACATAAGGGGTGCGTTATACATTTGAAATAAAAACAACTTTTACACCGCGTCTGAGTTTATGCACCCTCCCCTCTTCTCTGTTTCTCCACCAGGCAATAACGCAAAGCTATGTATTAGCCTTGGTGTTCTTGTAGTTGTCGTAAATGTACTTTCCTTAACTTATAATTTCACTGCATGCTACAGCATGTACTGTTATGTGGCCATTAACAAAACTGTTTTCGCTTTGCGTGATAGCTTTAGTTTCACCCGGTCGAGTGTAATTTAACAAATACATTGAGGAGCATTGCATTACATAATCATATATCCCTATGACTAACCCCCGTATTCACAAACGTTCCTCGACTCGACTTTTACCCTTCACTTGAAAGAGTTGAACACTGCGCCACTGCTCGGCTGAAAATGACGCTGTGCTACTCGAGAATTGCAGCAGATTATCGCACATATGCAGGGGCTTGCGTGCCTATAGAAGGCGCTCTCATCGGCTTTCTCAAGTGAAGGTGAAGCGTTGAGTGAAGGGACGTTGCGGTGGTAACAGTATAGGAGACAGGTGCTTAGAGCCGTAGTGTAACAATGTTGTTCTATTTTCTTTTTTTTTAAGGAAAGAAAAAAAAACAGCAAACCACATGAGAGGGCCCAACCAGGTTGTCTTTAAAGCTGTATTCACACGATGGACGAAATCGTCATTCGACCCCGGAGATCGCGTACTACGTCACCCGTTCCCGCCTCCCTGCATGCCTCGGCCCGCGCGGAGCGATTCGCGAAACGACGGAAGCCCAAATCACAGTTGGGATCCTCGGGGAGCAATGCCGAAATCCTCGCTTGTAGTGTGAATTGTCCTCTGTAGTGTGAACTCTGGTTGTAAATGCTGGGACTGATCCGTCCGCGATCTCGTCCTTCGCGTGAATTCATCTCGGTAGGAAGCGCAGCAACTACTATTACACAGAACACACAACACAAGCGCTTATTTGTGATGTGTAGCGTTCTGCGTAATAGTTGCTGCGCTTCCTACCAAGATAGATTCATACCAACTGGCCCGATACAATTGTTTATAGTGCGAATTCAGCTTCAAGCGTCACAACAGCGTCGGACGCTTTGCACCCCCATGATGCACGAGACGCGCCCGATGGGTGACCGTTTGGTGCGTGTCAGCATACCGTAAAATGCTGTAGATAATGTGAACAAAAACCAGCGGATAATGAGGCCAGGTAAGGTATAGGAAACGCTAATTGTAATATTTCCAAGTGTATTGTAATATTTGTAATAGTGATGTGAACAAGTTTTCTTTTGGTCTCCTTTATTTTGTTCACATCAATATCACAATGATTACTGTACACTTGGAAGAGTACAATTACCGTTTCCTACACCTTGCCTGGCCTCATTATCTAATGGTTTTCAATAATGTAATGCCAAAAAACAAACGAGTCTTCGAAATTTTCTATTCTTCGTTAATTGTTTGCCAGGTTGTCCTGTTTTGTCATTTGGCTCAAAACCGCACGAACGCATCCAGCCCTGCAGGAACGCTTGTGCACCACAGCCTGTGTACAACGCTTGCGCACACGACTGAGTTGGCATGCGTGCGTCGTAGGCAGTGCGTCGACTGCGCTAGCTTTTTCCGAATACTCTCCGAACCTGCCGAGACGCTGTGATATTCCGCCTCCGCCAGTATCCACTGATGATGGTCGACCATCACGGAGGTCACGTATAGCCCTTGGTAACTATGACCCCTGACGTTGGTGTGGTGTAGTGGTTACGGCGTATGCTTGGCGGCTGACCCGAAGGTTGCGGGTTCGATTCCGACCGCGTTGGTCGCAATTCGGTGGATACTAGATGCTAGTGGATCAAATGCTCTGCGATATCAGTGTACGATATATAACACCAGATGGTAAAAACATTTGGAGCCATTCACTATGACGTCCCTCGTAACCATATCGTGGTACTGGTACGTAGAACCCCAG